GGGGCCCCGGGTCGCCGCCTCGCTCGCCCGCAGCCTGCATCCCGTCCCCCTCTCGCCGAAGGGACACCAGGCAAAGAGGGAGGCCGAGGAGCGTTCGAGGCAGGTAAGGTTGGTTACGGGTCACCTGCTACTCCAGTGGGAGGGCGCGCTAGGGACGGCGGTTTTCAGCAAGGGTGACTTTATTTGGGGGGTGGCTGTGGGTCCGAAGTGAGGATGCGGATCGGCCAGGAGAAGAGGAACTGTCCTGGGACAGGAAACTCGAGCGGAGAACAAACGGCGAACGGGTGCGCCGTGGAGCGCCGCGCCGGGGACAGCGTGGCACCGGGGCGCAGTCCCGTCTCCCGCCGCCGTCGCCGCAGACTCCTCAGCCCGAGCCTTCTTCCGCGGCCAGCACCGCGCAAAGTTTTCCTCCCCAGACGCGCCCAGGAACTTTACGCCTTCTCCCGGCTGCCTCGCCCCCTCCCGGGCCGCGGCGGGGAGCGCGTCTGAACGCGCCGGGTGCCTCCCGCCGGCTGCAGGTTCTTTTGGAGACGCGTTGGTGGGGACCGTCTGGGGAGGACTTGACCAAGGGCATCTGCGCCCTCGCTCGCTCCTTTTCCCAATGGGCTGGGGGAGGGGACGGGAGACCAGGGGGTTGTTTGTGTTGTGGTGCTTCTGGGGAGGAAGGGACGACGCCTTTTCCCTTGCGAGCGCATCGCGACGCTCCGTCGGGTGGCAGCGTGCATCCTTCTGGACCCGGAGGGGAAAATCGGAGTCAGAGCTCAGCCGCAGAGCTGGCTGCCTGGGAAAGGCGTTGCTGCGAACGCACTCTGGCTGCAGCGGGTCAGCCCTGGGTAGCCCTCGGCTGGGCTCGCCCTTGAAAGGCCCGGGTTCGACTCCAGCTGGGAACGTAGCCCAGGGAGTTATCCCCTCTCCTCCGGGTGTTCCCTCCCGCCCCCTACAGACGCGCCCCTGGTTGGCGCGTTAACGGGCTGCCCAGGCAGCGCTGGGGCCATTTCCAACGCTGGCTGCTTCTCCCTTCCTGACTTATGTTCAGCCTCGTGTGCTGAATTCCTCTGCTTCGGCCCCAGCGCGCGGAGGGGACTTGACGGAGGAGGAGACGCCGCCGAGGGCGCTGGACAGAGCTGCCTGCCCAGCAGCTGGGGCCGCCGAGGTCCTGAGTTGCCTAGTACAGGGATCGGAGTTGAACGGGCGCACTTTTCGCCATGTAGCCACTAGTGGAGCCATAAATAAAAGCAGGTGTCCCTAGGAGGACTCCTCTTGCTCCACCAAACCGCTCCCAGCCTTCCTTAGCTGCTCAGTGCTGTTTGCACCGGCCCAAGGAGAGAGCCGCAGGAGCGGAGGGATTTCAAGTCTCCAGTACGGCAGGAAAAGGCTCTCCTCTTGAGTGCGTGTGTACGGTGTATGTGTGAGGGGGTCGTGGGGGGAGGCAGAGGAGATGGGACCCTCGTGGGTCTGCTGTAGCAACTGTGTAACCGTGGCAACCGCCAGGGCAAGCGCGGTCGCAGCCTTCCGGGTTCTGCACGTGGGAAGAAAAATGCGCAGGGTGGGGAAGGGAGAGAGGCGCCTGTCATCACTCCAGCGATGCCTGGCTTCTCCCGAGGCAGGCAGCAGGGACGGCGGGGAGGAAGGGCAGGGCTTGGAAGGGAGCGGCCCCTGGAGGGAGTTGCCTCCACTCGGTCCCGCCTTGGAATCCGGGAGGCTCATCCCAGCGGCCCGAGCGCGCCAGACGAGCCCGCTGACAGACTGTCAAGTGACGATCCAGGTCAGGGAGATGGGAAAAGACCTTGGCCCTTGGAAGAGAAAGGCCAGGAAATACAGGAAGGTGATGTGGGGAGAGATAAGAATAGGGTCAAGAGGTAACTGAGAGACAATAAACCGATCTGGTCCGGACCGGCAGCATTTCAAATGGAATTTGCCCATTTATGAAATGGAAAATAAGTGGAGAAGCAAAGGGACATTTATCAAACACTTACTGCATCCCAGGTGTTTTGTACATTATCACGATTATTATTCTTACAAATACTACAGAAAATGTCATTTAAAAAAAATTTATTTGTAAAAACAGATGCAGAGTTAGAAATGGTTAGTGTCCCATTTTGGTTTTTTGGATCTTAAAGAAATACAATTCTTAAAAATGGTGTTGAAGGTTAAGGGAATAAACAAAGCAGTTATTCTCATTTTAGAAATAAGACTAATGAGATGGAAAGGTGTTAATTGATGTGTCCAAATATAAGCTAGTAAGGGGCTGAGCTGAGTCTTGAACTGGTTTACCTGGATGTGGGTCATCTTCAGGCATCTTTCCATGACCCGGCTTAAAGGAAGGGCCTTTCTAGGATCAGTTTGCTCCTGTATCTGTATATTGGAATTTACAAGGGAAGAACATTCAAGTAGTGGAATCCATGGTTGATGTGTAGAGGCCATATCAAGTCTGAGACCAAGAGTCATACCTACGTGATATTAATAATCTATCCAGATCTTATTGTAGCTTATATGAATTACTAGTGGCTTTAATAATGTTTGTAAAGGATAAATTTTAAAAAGACACACATATTTTGTCAAACAGAAACCCCATGTCCATGTTGAGAAAATATCCTTAGTCTACTTATTGCCTTCATGACTTGAATACCTAAAACCTCACTTCATATTTCAGCACCACTGGTTCACTTTTGTTAAGAGTTTGTTGCCAATTCACTTAGGAGGAGTAATGATTTGACTTCTGTTACCGTCCTGCTGACTTTCTGAGAGGGAGGTTAAGGGAAAATGTCTGGCAATGCAGAATGTTTTGGAATTATCAGGGAACTATGATCAACACATCAGAAACTAGAAGTAAAAGGTAGGGAAATAAACATCTCCCTTTTCTTTTGCTTTCTTGCAGAATTGCTTTTATATTTACGCCTTAGTTAATGAATTTGCATTATATTTTTGCATGGGAAAAATGCACAAAGATAAACTGAATTTTTAATCTATTTTTGTTCATGTGTGTGGGTAAGGGTGGGAGTGGGAATTATTTTTGGTGGCAAGGGAAGGTCTAGAATATAAACAATTACAAAGGCTGAGGAAGTACATGTAGTGTTTCCAGTGACAGGCTAACAAATCAACTATATGTTTGAACTTGAGTCATTGAGCTGAATTATTCTGAATACTTTTCCAAAACTAGAAAATATATTGTTTGGGGTTGGAGTTAAATTAAGATAGGAAGTTTCATGGTGCCCATTTCTTACTCTTCATACTGTATTCTTATTCCATTGCATGAGCATTTGTTAACTATCAAAAGGTTTATCACAGACCTTAAATGTCGCTCAAGATGTCTTCTGGACTTGGCAGGTATTTCTGTGGCCTGGTGTTTGTTTACTGTTTGTATAAAGTTACTGGATAGTCAACCACATTTTTATAAAGCAGTTGGAATATCAACTTCTTAGTCTCAAGGGGGAAATATTCCAGTTGGTGCTGGTTTAATGAATATTAGTATATCTCTAGATTATTTGTGATGGCTTCTTTATTTTGGGGAAAAATGTGACTGACTCTTACTGTTCTGTGTGGGAATGGTAATGCTTTGATGACACATGTTCTTTGGGAAGCATTCTTGTCAATTAATGAATGATTTACTTCAGAAACATGAGTAACTATGGCTCTATTTTGAAAAATTATTCTTTCCATAAATACCTAAGTAAAATAATATTTCAACACTCAATAACATATTCTTTGAAAGGAAAAAGAAATATTCACACTTATAAAATAAACAGTAACAACAATAATAATAGTGATTGATCATGGACAAAACTTGTTAATCACATTCTTTTTTATTTCAGAAACTTGGTTAAAAATACTACCTTACTCCAGGAAACCTTGGCCCAAATCCCTCTTTTTTATATGTTCATTATGACTTTCCAGCTAATATTCTAATTTTTCAATCATTTGTTTTCTTCTTTTTTTTGTTGTTTATGATCCCTGATTAGATCATAAGAACCTTGAAGGAAGGAATTTGTCTTCATAACTTTTTATACCTTCAGGTTAGTACAATGCTAAACATATTATAGGTACTTAACACATATTGAAGTCTAATTATCTAAGCAGTTTAATGAAAATGGTTTTCAATCTATTGCCTGTAGGAAATCAGATTAAAGATCTTTGGTTTTATACTTTATTTTCTCTGAGATTTTAGGAAGGAAAGTTTTCTCTTATATCTGAGTTTTACTCTTTCATAGAAAACTGTGGTGCAGTGCTGAGTATTTTATCATAATGCAGAACATACAGGAGTGGTGTAATGATCAAGTAAAATTAGGTGTATAAGGATATTTATTAAACAATTGCATGCTATAACATGTTATTATTTTAATTTTTTGTTTCTTGTATTTTTTAAATACCCAATTGACAAATGAGAATCTGTATCATCTATGTCTATTTTAGTTAACCTTAACTAAATAATACCTAACCAAATAATAATTAGAAGGAAGGACATAGCTAAAGCAAAATTCTTTTTCTTTTTTTGATTAATTTTCACTCCAGGATTTTTTCCATTGTTTTTTTTTTTTTTTTTTTTAAAGAGAGTGGAAGAGAGGGAGGGGGAAAGAGACAGAGAAATATCATGTGAGAGAGACATATCAATTGGTTGCCTCACGCATCTGCCCGGACCAGGGTGGGGATCAAACCTGCAACCCAAGCATGTGCCCTTGACCGGGAATCAAACCCGAGACCCTTCAGTTCATGGTGACGCTGTAACCACTGAGCAACACAGGCCAGGGCTAAAGCAAAATTCTTTATAAACTGAAATATGCTGGTAAGTAATGCAATGCTTTTAAAATTATTTCAAAATTTAAATAGTAATGACTTATACTTAAATTATTAGTCATGTATAAATATAAATTGTTAAAAACAAATAGTGCCAGGTTGGTGGGGCTCAGTGGTTGAGATTCGACCTATGATCCAGGAGATTGAAGTTCGATTCTCTGTCAGGGCACATGCCTGGGTGGCAGGCTCGATCCCCAGTCAGGGGAGTGCAGGAGGCAGCTAATCAAAGACTCTCATCATTGATGTTTCTGTCTCTCTCCCTCTCCGGAGCTTCCTCTCTCTGAAGTCAATAAAGACATATTAAAAAAAACCAAAAACCTTAAAAAAAGAAAAACCAAATAGTTAAGTACTTCAAAAATCTGGAATATATCATGTCATATACTGTTCATACTTAGATTTGAAATGATTTTGGTGACTTTTAATCTATCTTAATCAATATTTAGTCCTTTATCTCCATGTTAGTAATATTTAGTAATTTCTAATAGTCATAAATCAGGGTATCATTATCCAGCTTGCTAACCTTCCACTGGTAAATTTAGACAGTTTGCTTATTCTTTTGCAAAGTTCAGTAAGCTACAAATATTACCCTCCCATAGAAATCTAGAAAATAAACCGAGAATTAAGCAACCAAAAGTTCCTAGAAAAGTCTGCATCTTTCTAAATCTGAACCTGTAATCCCTTTAAAGATGTGTGTCTTCTGCTTCAGAAATTAGGACTTACCTTATGTCCCTTGTTTTTTCAATAGGGCATTTAACATAACTTCAGCATGTTATGTTTTTAAAACTGGTGGTTAATAGTGTGTTCTATTAGTGAGTTTTACTAGCAAATCACAGGGAAAAAAATGGAAACATTTGCTATATTTTTCTAATTAAATACATTTAAGCATCATTAGGTGGGACTATTACTACTGAGAACAAAATCAATCAAATAAGCAAAAAAGTCTGAATTACTGAACCTCTTAAGAGAGATATAGTACTATTGCTTTCATGGAAAATAAAGAAAATGGTATAGGTATATGAAGGTGACATTATTAATCTACCATCGGATAAATGTTCAATTTATTTTTTCTATATTAATTATTTTACTAGGTCTTCTACTTAGCCAGTATCTTGCATATCTTAAGCAGCTCTTAATGATTATGTCATATTTATTCCAGAAATGAGCCTCTATAACCCGTACCTAATAACTGATATACATTTGCTATCAGTGTGTATGAACTGCTTAAAAACAATATCCAGAAAAATAGTACCCTGGTATTGCTTAAATAGGCCAATGGGACCCTTTTTTCAGCATATTATATTGACAGCTGGGCCCATGCCTAATGATGTAATAATCTCAAATTACGTCTAAACAATCTGGTTTTCCTTATTGAGATGTATAAACTAGGTGTTGGGCTTTTACTCCCACCTTTTTGTTTCTTATATTTTATAGTAAAGACCACTCTATATATGTGAAATTCGGGCATTCTTGGATATTGGTATTTGTTGTTGTTGCTTTTAGATAAATACTTGCTCTTCATATCTGAAGGGATTGTTCTATGAAAGAAAGAAGTGTTTCCTAAGGTGAAAATGAATACTATTCTTATTTGAAGGAACACTTTCAATTTTGAAATATAACACTGCATTTCAAAGATAAATATTTGGAATTCTCTGAGGTTTCTGTTTACTTATAACACTAAATACTGAGTCAACAGAAGTTGATACTAACTTGAGTTTTCTTATTGAAATGGGGTGTGTATTTCTTTGTAAATCTTTTATTATTATAAGAATGATTGTCATTACAGATATGGTTCATGATCGTCACTGAAAATCTATAAAATGCACATAAGCATAAAGTGGAGAAGTGTTAGTAAAAACTTATCCATAAATCTACTACATGCAAAGATATATTAATTCTCAATTGGACATGACATTTATTTTAAAAATGAATTTTATATGTGACACCTTGTGCCTAGATCTTCATTTCTAATACCAAACCAGGGAGAAATGGCTGATTCTAGCACCGGGGCAGGAACTATACAAGGTGAGCCTGGATCATCTTGTAGTATCAAAAAAATTAAGTGCTTAACACACATACACACACCACCACCACCACCCCCACCGCCATCACCACATACACACAATGACAGAGGTATGTCAAAGAGATGCAGGAACTAATCGAAGGAACTCCTTGGCCAAAGCTGGAACAATTTGAACAAAAAGTAGTATTTGTTATGACCCAAAGTATAAAATAAATATTCATGAGACCATGATAATGTAAATAAATGATTGAATATATTAATAAATGGGGGAAAATGTACAAATCTCCCATGCAGCAGAATTTAAAATAATATGTAGCTACTCTGCCCTCAAGGAAGATGTGCATAACTTCTACTTCTGATGTGTGAGGTGAACATGGTCACTTCCTCCAAAAAGTACAGGAGAGAAGGGGAAAGAGTACTTTACAGTGAATAAGCCTGGGAAGCACTATCTCAGCCAGATGGTCAAGGTCAACATCAACAGTTGTAAAGCATGTTGATAGTGTGTGCCCTTGATTGATATGATGGGATGAAAGCGAAAACGATGGTTTACCTGGCCAATCTTTCTCATAAAAACCCATAAACCCAATAACTAAGAGAAATGCATCAGACAAATTCCAAAAGAGAGGCAGTCTACAATAAACTTGACCATTACTCTTCAAACCTGTCAAGATCAAAAGCAGTGAAAGTCTGACCTACCATCAAACTTAAGAGGAAACCAAAGAAACACAACTAAATGTAATGTGGTGTCCTGGATGGGATCCTTGAAAGGAAAAAAAACTTTAGGGAAACACTAAGGAAATCAGAATAAACTATGTACTGTAGTAATAATGTATTAATATTGGTTTATGAATGGTAACAGGTGTCCATTCTAATATAAGACATAAAAGTAATAGGAGAAACTAAGTTGTGCATTATAGGGGAACTCTGTAATATCTTCTCAATGTTTTTATAATTCTAATACTGTTCTGAAAAAAACTGTATTTAAGAAATTTGATTTCAAAACATATAGATCAACCATGGTGAAA